GATCTTTATTCCTGACATCGGAGAGCGAGAGGAATAAAACAGTCGGAGCTTTGAGGGCAAAAACCGAGATTTACGGCTGCCATAAAAACCGACAAAAGCAGATTTACAAATCGTCTACATTTCCAGGAACCGAGACGCAGCGGAGCGAATATTAACCCTTTCATGCCGGAGGACACATCCGCGAGCAGAAATCACAACACGGCGCAGCGCGTTCTATCATTTGTACCGTTTTTGCTTTCGTTTCGTGTCTTTTAAGAATCAAAATCTTCAAATGAGTCACAAAAATGACATTTTGTACAAGAGCGCGCACAACGCACACAACGCACACAATGTACAGATTGATCACTGGGGGAGGGGAGACTGAGGAAATGCTTCCTCCTGCCTGCAGCAGACTGATGACTGGGGGAAGGGAGACTGAGGAAATGCTTCCTCCTGCCTGCAGCAGACTGATGACTGGGGGAGGGGAGACTGAGGAAATGCTTCCTCCTGCCTGCAGCAGACTGATGACTGGAGGAGGGGAGAGTGGGGAAATGATTCATCCTGCCTGCAGCAGACTGATGACTGGAGGAGGGGAGAGTGGGGAAATGATTCATCCTGCCTGCAGCAGACTGATGACATCATCTCATACTAGGCCAAGTCACTGACTGGAGCACAAGGACGGCTCGATCATCCGGGTTCTGGATTTCTGGATCTTCTGTGTTATAGTTTTGTGGATCACCCGGGTTCTGGATCTCCTGTGTCCAGTTTTGTGGATCACCTGGGTTCTGGATCCCCTGTACTCCGGTTCTTTGGATCACCTGGGTTCTGGATCTCCTGTTTTCCTGTTCTGTGGATCACCTGGGTTCTGGATCTCCTGTATTCCAGTTTTATAGATCACCCGGGTTCTGGATCTCCTGTGTTTTGGTTCTGTGGATCACCCAGGTTCTGGATCTTCTGTGTTCCAGTTCTGTGGATCACCGGGGTTCTGGAGGTTCTGGATCTCCTGTTTTCCTGTTCTGTGGATCACCCGGGTTCTGGATCTCCTGTGTTCCAGTTTTATGGATCACCCGGTTCTGGATCTCCTGTGCTCCAGTTTTGTGGATCACCTGGGTTCTGGATCCCCTGTACTCCGGATCTTTGTATCACCCGGGTTCTGGATCTCTGTGGATCTGTGGATCACCCAGGTTCTGGATTTTCTGTGTTCCAGTTCTGTGGATCACCGGGGTTCTGGATCTCCTGTTTTCCTGTTCTGTGGATCACCCGGGTTCTGGATCTCCTGTGTTCCAGTTTTATGGATCACCCGGTTCTGGATCTCCTGTGCTCCAGTTTTGTGGATCACTTGGGTTCTGGATCCTCGGTACTCCGGATCTTTGTATCACCCGGTTTCTGGATCTCTGTGGATCACTTGGGTTTTGGATCTTCTGTGTTCTAGTTTTGTGGATCACCCGGGTTCTGGGTCTCCGTGGATCACTTGGGTTCTGGATCTCCTGTGTTCCAGTTTTATGGATCACTTGGGTTCTGGATCTTCTGTGTTCTAGTTTTGTGGATCACCTGGGTTTTGGATCTCCTGTGTTCCAGTTCTGTGGATATCACGGGTTCTGGTGGATCGCCTCTGATTAGTCTTCACTCCATTAACCCTTTGGTGTCAGTCAGGCCCACAGTGAAGGATTCTGGGAGCCCGGGGCACACAGGGCACAGGACTA